CGTTGCAGCGCTTCCTCCTATCTAGCATCCAAATGTCACACCATTTGGTTCCAGAGACTAAATGACTGAAATGGTAGTGTTTGTCCCAAAACCAACGTAATGTCTGTCCGAAGGTAAACATAACCTGTGTCTGAACATGAGCGTTATATCTGTCCGAAAGTCAACATAATGTCTGTCCGAAGGCCACCTATTTTCATTTCTCAAAAGGCGTACTGACGCAACCGTGATTTTTCAGAGTTTCAAGCCTGGAAGGACCAGTATGAGGCTGACACCGGAGCGGTGTACAACGTCGCTTCCAGCCGACCCCGGAGCGGTACAACCGCCCGCTACTTGTGCTCCCGGTCCGGCGTGTACGCACCGGCGGGGACCGGGAAGAGGCGGCTCAAGTCGCAGGGCACGTGCAAGCTGGGCTGCCGCTGCACGTCGGATGTCATGGCGACTACCCGAGAGGACGGCACGGTGCTGGTGACGGTGCACCCATTCCATTATGGCCACAGCATGGGTATTAGCAACATCCCACACGTCAGGATCTCCAGCCTCCACAAAGCTGCCATTAAGGGTGAGTGTTGAGAAATGGTGTGCTGATATAAGGGCGTGGGATTGCTCGCCATGACTTCAGTGTTGTGTGAGAACAACTCATGCAAATTGTAGCTGTTAGAATATAAGCATGTACGATTTCTCACACTGTTATCGGGGTTAGGTGCCCAGTACAGTGTCAGCTCGTCAGCTGAAGTCATTCACGCATGCAAGTCGAAGTACTGCCAAAGCACTGATCCAAATGGCGTATAGAGACAAATATTAACGCCGTCGTCTTCGCTTCCAGAAAATCTGCTGACTGGGGTGTCAATGTCTCGCATCATGAAGGATGTCCGTGAGGCGTTCGGGGCTGAAGCGGCAGCAGGCACCAGTTCCAGTCGTCCATATTGGCTCCAGCGGCGCGACCTCCACAACATGTGTCGGTCTGTCGGTATCACGGCAGCGGATGGCAGTGCAGTGAAGAACCGCAACGAAGTCATCAGCGTGCAGATGTTCGCGGAGGAGATACGATCATCGGATCAGGTTGGCAAATTGGCGAAGATTCACGTCATTGCACGTAGCTGGCATGTCGACAGCGGACATTTGAATTTCATTGATGATGATTGGGGTTTTAGGGCGCGTCGACTTCTAGGGTCATTTTGCGCCCATAACAGCTAAGTGTTTACCGTGGCGTATAAATGGCTGTGAATCCTACGCTTCTCAAAAATGAAAGCAGCTGTCCGGTGCCAAGCATGCGAGAATCGTCACCAATAAGGTCTGAAAAAGTAAGACCTGACGCATCTCATCCGAAGTAAAGTGCCCGCTCTTCTCTGAACTGTGGGCAGGAGTGAATAACGTGGCGAACCGTAAGTGACGCACCACAGCGAGGACATTTAGGGCGTTCTTCACCGCACAAAAGGTAGCTATGTGTTGCGTGCGTGTGGCCAATTCGTAACCTGCTGAGGGTTACTTCTTCGTGTCTCAGCTTACGTGAGCTTGAAGACCATAGACCCAGTTGTGGCTTGATCATCTTTAACTTGTTGTTTACAATGACGTCCCAGCAGCGTTGCCATTTCCCCTCCACAAAGGTCGCGATTGCAGGGTAAAAGTCCCTTGCCGGCAAGGGTAAAGAACGGGTGCAAGGTGCACGCGCTGCCCGTTTTGCGGCCGCGTCAGCACGCTCGTTACCTGCGATACCCACATGACTCGGTATCCAACATAAGACGACAGTTTTACCAGCAAGATCCAGCGCTGTCAGGCGAACTAAAATATCCTGTATAATGGGACAAGGTGGGTTATAGGTTGTCAGAGCCAACAGGCTGCTCAAAGAATCGGATAAGACCACGTGTGAGTTGCTCTCACCAACTTCGATGAAGCATAGGGCTTTACTGATTGCAACGAGCTCGGACGTGTAAACTGATGCGTGTTTCGGTAAAGAAAAGGACCGGGTGGCTTGGTCATTCACAAATGCAGCACCAACACCTACCTCCGTCTTCGACCCATCAGTATATGTGGCTTGAAAACCTATGTACGACCCGATGTGCTCCAGAGCCTTCGATCTCAGGTCGCATGGGATCGCTCCCTGTTTGCTTGTGCATGCAAGGGATACATCCACTTTTGGTGAGATTAGCTCCCATGGAGGCACTAACACGGGACGCGACCTCAGCACACCACGCAACCTTATGTCGCTTTCCCGGAACAGCTTCTTCATGTGGACACCAAATGGAATAGCGGACAGCCTTCCGCTACTTTGGAACTTGCTTTCCACATCACGTGAAAAGATTGCTCGGTGAGTCGGATGGTTGGGAAATTGAGCCAGCTTGCAAAAGTACCGCATGCCAAGCATTTCCCTTCTCAGTGCCAACGCCGGTTCATTAACTTCCACGGTAAGGCTAGCAACTGGCGACGTCCTGAATGCCCCCGTCACAACGCGTAATGCGGTATGGTGCACGGTGTCTAATAAACGTTTGCAGGAACTCGGCGCACGGTCATAAATAAAACAGCCATAGTCAAGTTTTGAACGTATAGCAGTAGCAGTGTTCTTCTGTCCGCTCCATAAGATGTTCGAGACACGTACTTCAATATGTTCAATGCTTTAAAACAGTTGTCACGTAGGGTTTTCAAATGTGACCCATACGATAAACGGTTATCAAACTGCAGACCCAAGAAGCGGGTACTGGGTTCGTTTGGGATGGTCTGGCCGTATAGCCTTAAAGCCATAGCGGGGCATTGACGACGTCGCCTGCAAAAGTGCATAGCAACTGTTTTCGAGGTCGAGAAACGTAGTCCGTTTATAACGCTCCATCTTTCCAGGCTGATCACAGCCAACTGCAAGCGACGTTCCAAAGAGGCAAAGTTTGACGAGGCATACCAGATGGCGACGTCATCCACGAAGAGAGAGCGGCTGACCGACTTTGGAAGGGAGTCACCAATATCGTTAATCATAACCGCGAACAGAGCGACGCTCAAAACGCTACCCTGGGGCACGCCATTGTCTTGTTGGTACCTATCCGAGAAGTGTGAGCCAACACGAACTCTGAAAGAACGATCGGTCATAAAGTTCGCTAGGAACGTGCCCATGGCTCCTCGAATGCCATAATGAAAGAGCTTTTTCAGGATGCCGTAACGCCACGTCGTATCATAAGCTTTTTCAACATCAAAAAACACAGCGCCAACATGTCGCTTTTCCCTAAAACTGGTGCGAATGTCTGTGTCGAGAGCTATAAGATGGTCAATGGTACTGCGATTTTTTCTGAATCCACATTGAGCAGCCGTAAAAACGTTGTACCGCTCCAAAAACCACGACAAACGCACATTTACCATACGTTCCATCAACTTACAAACGCATGGTGTCAGTGAGATAGGGCGATAGTCAGCAGGGTCAGCCCCACTCTTACCAGGCTTGAGCATAGGGACAATATGTGACTCACGCCACGACTCCGGAAAACCTCCATTCTCCCAGAGATTGTTGTACGTCGCTAAGAGGGCCTCAACTACTGAAGTGGGAAGTTGCTTAAGCATGGCGTTGTGAACTAGATCTGGACCCTCTGCCACATTGCGCAGCGATCCCATCGTGGAAATTAGTTCGGCCATTGTAAAAGGTCGGTTATACGACATCTGCTCCGTCGTGCTGAAGTCGACAGGGGATGCCTCGCAGCGGATCCGGTGACGCATAAACTGCGGGACGGCATTGCCGTTGCCACACCGTTCGGCGAATGCGCGGGCGATTTCATTTGCTACGTCAGCTGGGTGTATAATGTCACGTCCATTGATACGGAGCACAGGGTGTGGCACAGACGGGTGCTGTCCAGCAATGCGTTTGATCCGTGACCATATATTGGATACAGGTGTTTGGCAGTTTAGATGGCCGACGTACGATCGCCACGATGCCCGCTCAGCCTCTAGAATGGTACGTCTAGCAGCCGCTCGTGCTCGTCGAAATGCAATAAGATTCTCAGTAGTACTCCGACGGTCAAACTTTCTAAGGGCCCTCCTACGTGCACAGATTGCGTCCCGGCACCGCTGCGTCCACCACGGGACAGGAGGACGACGAGGGCAGCCCGACGTTCGCGGTAAGCACCCTTCTGCAGACCGCAAAATCAGCGATGTCAAATCCCCTACCGACGGGGGTTCATCCGCTGGCTGCATAGTAAGGAAATGCTCGATCCTTGCTTGAAACTCAGTCCAGTCGGCTTTTCTAAAATTCCAGCGCTGTGGCCGAGAACCAAGGAAAACGTCAGCCCGGTACTTGATCCAGATGGGGAAGTGGTCACTTCCCATTGGATCGTCTGACACCGACCAGTCAAAATGGGTGACCAGTTGTGGACTCAAAAGACTTAAGTCGATTGCTGATGCCTGTCCTGATGGGAGTGTAAAATGAGTACGAGTGCCCGTGTTTAAGAGGCACAACGATTCTTCATGTATGAGGGCTTCGCAGCGTTTCCCGCGAGTGTTTGTCTTGACACAACCCCACGCTGAATGGTGAGCGTTAAAATCACCTAAAATGAGGACAGGCGGCGGAAGCTGAGCTACCAGGTGTCTCAGATGAGCGGACGGAAACCCGGTCCCCGGAGGCAAGTAAGTTGAGCATATGGTAATCGTATGGCAGTTTAACAACACTTTGACTGCGATAGCTTGAAGCTCAGTATTCAAAGCCAGCCTTTGTGCACATACGCTGTGGCGCACGGCTAGGAGAACGCCACCGTGAGCAACAGGGACAGGTGGTAAATCTCGCCGCCAAACGGCATAACCCGAAAGACTAAAAACGCTGTCGGGTGCCAGTTTTGTCTCCTGGAGACATATCACCGCCGGACGCCGCTCGTTAATGCATACTTGGAGATCTTGGTAGCTTGTTCGGACGCCCCTACAGTTCCACTGTAAAACATTCGTCATGGAGCTAAGAGGTCAGGACGGTCGTTAGCTTCCTATCACTCCATGGCATCGACGCCTACCGGAGGACGGGGGCATGTGTTTGGGTTGTGAGTGTAAAACAGACCTACTTTTAAAAATACTCGGCTGCGCCGGCCACAGAAGACCCAGACGGTCCAGCTACGGGGTGCAGGGACCCACCAAGGTCTGATCCCACCGACGCCGGCCGGGTTCTGGGCCGAATACGTGGGCTGCCGTCTGTGGGCGAGATTGGCCAGGGGGGGCCACGCTTTTCCGGGCGCCCCACTCTAGACGGGGACGGCGCCGGCGAAGCCGTGACCTTAGATGGCGGCGCAGGAGGAGGGCCCATCGGTGGATTCCGAACCTCGGATCCACCAGGGGCCTCTACGCGTCGCCTGGGCGGTGGAACGATTTCCCCCGCGGGAGCACGTCCCTGATCCGCCCCCGGCAGCCGGCTAATCGCCTTCGTCCTCTCCTGCTCAACTAGACGCGCTCGCTTGGCTTCGCGGGCGCGCCTATCAGCTTCTTGACGCTCCATCGTCTCTGCTACACGTTCACATGCGCTGGTGAGGGGTGCCTGTGATGAGGAGACCGGTGGTTTCTCAGACGAAGGAATACCGGACGGCGCGCGAGGGCTGCGGCCACGCCGAACCGTCGTCCACCCGTCATTTGTTGGCGATCCAACTGGTGCCGAGGAGGCCGGCAGCACGGCGGCCACCGACTGCTCGGTTGGTGGGGAGAGGGCTTGCGGTGCTGGCTGTGAGTCCGGGGCGCGTGTTGAGGGTACAACTGATAGGCCAAACGATCTCAAAAGTTCCAGAAATTGAGCAGCCGTCATGTCCTCGATCACGTTGGTGTGCGGCAACGAAGCTTTCACTTTCGATGCGTACGATGTTTTTGGGTGGGTCTCGTCATAAAGTTCCCGAGCCTCACGGAATGATACGTTTTTAGAAGTTTTGATTGATATGATTTCCTTCTCCTTAGCGTAGGCTGGACATGCACGGTCGTAGGACATGTGCGGAACCTGGTCCCTGTCGCAGTTGACGCAGTGGGGTTTGTCAGAAGTACATTCTTCGCTCATGTGCTCGAGGGACGCACATTTGCCACACGCCGCGCGGTTCCGACAGTTGGGTTTCGTGTGACCAAATCGCTGGCACTGATAGCACCGCATGGGGTTAGGCAAAAATGGACGGACTTTTACGCGGACGTATCCCACACGTATCTCGGATGGTATGTCGGGGCGACTGAACGTGAGTATAAGGTTGTTCGTGGGCACTAACTCTCCTCCCCTTCTGACAAGAATCCGTCGAGCGGCGGTCACTCCAAACTCCGAGAGCTCCTCCACGATCTCTTCTTCGTCAACGTCACGCAGGTCAAAACAGTTCACCACGCCCCGGGACGAATTTTTCGTGTTATGTGGTGTCGCCGACATTGACACTGTTTTTTCCCGTTTGCCAGCCCCATCCCGAACACTGTACGAAAATTCAGTTGCTTTCATAGCCCGACTCGCCTCCAAGTCACTAGCAAATTCAACTTCTATTTTTCCATCTCGGAGCTTGTCACATCTTATAATTTTTCCAAATTTGTCGCACCCATTTCTTCTCTGAAACGGTGACAGGGACGCCAACCTAATCTCGTCACTTCCGAAGACGAGGATCCGTGGTCCGGGGATAACAGGTTCGCCTCTGCACCCTGGAGTTGTCGAGGTCCGCCCCCCTTTCGGAGGACGGGTGTTTTTAAAGGTAGAAGAAGCCATGCAAAAAGGGGGTTTGCATTTCGGCACCGGGGCTCCCCACCCACCACGGAGCCCAACTGGGGGACGGCCCAACACTCCCTAGGGAGGTGGTCACCGCCAGGGCTACCCCGGTGCTATACGGGGCGAACGACGCCTCCCACACAGCCAGGTGTAACCGGGGAGACCCCTCCCCGTCCTGACCGTGGTTCAGCGCCGCCGCCCCTTGACCCCTTAAGCCGCTGCGCGCGGCCAGGCGCCCCAAGCGGAGACCCGCAAGGGGCACCCAACCGCAACGCGAGCGACAAGCCGCTAGACCCGTGTGGGGCCCCACGGGCCCCCCACGCCCCCGGATATCCTGGCCAAAGTGGAGTGTTGAGGCGCGCCGCGACTGACCTGCACGACGCGCCCCTCAGCCATCAGGATCCGATCAACCCGGGGACGCGAGCGAGGGGGCACGGCGACCCCGATAAAACGAGGATTAGGAGTGGTGATAGGGCCGGATGCGGGAGTGCGGGTAATGTGGAGGGAGCGGGCGGGACAAGGAACAGGAGCTCACGTACCGGCAGGGTCGCTACGCCCTGAGACGAACAGCTTGCGCTGTCCACCAGTTACCAGAGCTGGGATCCGAAGGGGCGCTAGTTCCCTATACCGGCCGAAACCGGTGCCCCTACGGGGTTTGAATTTCATTAGGCCCGGGCCCGCGGAGTTAGGGTCATGGGTTCTGGAGCTTCGGGGTCATGGCTATGGACATGACAATGTTTCGATCAAAACCAGATCAAGATCCGATTAGGCGTGGCGCCTACATATTATCAGCTCATTTCCACTGCGCAGGGCACAACATTCGCAGCTCATTTATTCGTACGCAGTATTTAACAATAACCAGAACGCATTCGAAACATTTGTGTTCCCATGTGAGGTGTGGGTGGGCTTGTGAAGCTGGCTATGCGCAATTGAATGCAAACCGTCGGTGCACCAAAGTTGAGGCGTTCGTAATGATTGATAAGTCGGCAGTAGGAGGAGCAGAACCGTAAAGCCAACTTTGTGTTGTCTGCAAGTCACTCAGCAATATCAACACTGTTCCACGCACGGTGTTACTCAGCAATATCAACACTGTTCCACGCACGGTGTTAAATCAATATGCACCGAACACAGGCTTGTTTCGCCCCATGTTTTGACAAATGCGCAATCAACATACCAACGTTTTCGAAATCCTTCCATCGCAGTCGCTATGAACGTGTGCCAGTTTAAACTCCATTACTCTCTGAATGGAAATCGCCAAGTTCAGTCAATTTTACCGGAATATCACCTGTAAATGTTAAAGCGAACGTTAGGTCGCCTCGAAGCCCCCAAAAACACTCCTGGCAGGGGAGCAGCCCATTGCTTTGAAAACTCCTTCATATGGATTATCAACTGCACTTTTACTCCCTTGTATTTTAGTATCGTTTGCATGATGACATCACTGACGTCCGCTGTGATTTGGGTCGTCCTACGTCGCGCTGGGTAAGCTGCTGGTGGGTATACGTATTTGCTTCAAGCGTGGTCATCAAGTGGTATTCGCTCTTTATTATTTCAGCAGCACCTGTTGGCCTTCAAACTTCCAGGTGAAGCGGACAGCAACGGCGCAATCCGAGATGAAGACTTCGTGTTCGCGTTCTGCTCGTCATTTCAGCTGGCGAAGTTCGTACAGCACGGTGCAAAGGTTGTGTGCATGGATGGCACGCACGCCACCAGCGGTAATAATTTATTTGCCCTTCATTCGCTAATGGCGCATCCGTCATTCGTTCACTAATGCTTCGTACTTCCTTAATTTGCATAATGCTACTAATGTCTCCTGTAACTGAAGACGTTTGGATGGTGACAACTTCTCTCAATGCAATACACTTTATCTGATAGCTGAGACTACTTTCGTAACTGGCCATAGGCTACCAGGGGCGCAATATGCAGATATGACGGAATCAAATAGCAACGAGGCTTCAGAATGCAACAAAGCAATGGTATCGTCATTCGTTGGATGTGTGTAATGAAAGCAACGCTACACCTTGGCTGCGCGAACTGCTTTTCGTCCACCTTTACGCTAATTGTAAACGATGATGGATACCATGTGTCAGCAGTAGACCAGATCTCCGCGAGGCTGTTGGTTGAACGGAAAATGTAAACAGCATCCGTCAGAAAACATCCACTTTGTCAGGGACAACCCGCAAATGTATAGCGTACCAGTCTTTAGATGTAAGGGAGCGGTGTGCTATTGAGTCTTTTTTGTTTTATGTCATTTCTTCAAGTGTGCATAGCTATTTTGGTACACTGCAGCACGATGTACGCACGCTGTGTGCAATCTCCAAACATGTGTCACTGGGCGAGTTACAGTGTGCGTATTTTTCCACTCTACAGGTCACGATTTTCATCTCATAACGCTACTGGTGGTGACGGAGACGGGAGCCGGCATGCCAGTGGCCTGGCTCATCTCGAGCAGAGAGGACGAGCCTGCCATATCATCCATGCTGACTGGCCTGGTCCGCACCTGCGAGGAGCTGGAGCTGCCGTTTCCCACCGTCCGGTTTCTTATGACAGACAAGGCCATGGCCTTTTATAACGCCTGGCTGGCGAGCACCTGCCAGCATGACACCCAACACATCCTCTGCGCCTGGCACGTCCTGAAAGCATGGAAGGGCAAGCTGGCGATGGTAACCGTAAGTCGTTTTGTTCGCCACGCGAAATTTGGACTGTAATGCTTCAGGCACGCTATTCGTTCAGTGGGCACGGCCGTGACTCCACGAAGTATTTGTAAACCCCAGAGTTGGATTGTGTGATAGTCCGCCAGTCCATGTGGACCAGCATTGCCTTCATAACTTTTGCTTGGTGTTTCCTCAGTCAATATGTTGCTGCGGTGCCAGGTCGCCGATATCGAGACCTGTTTTCGGCCGGTGTACCTCACCTTTTCCATTTTTATCGAATGGGAAGGTGCAGCAACAGTGACACTGCAGCGTTCCTTAAGTGTTTGTCCAAATAGCTGTTAGTAGCTCAAATGGCCTATTCGTACATTTTTCTGGAAACGACATGGCCGTGTGGCCGTAAAATGTTACCAAAAGTGTAGCTGACCGTGGCTAGCGGGACTTCCCGTTCAGCTGAGGTGTTGCGGCGCTTCAAAGCGCTGACATCTCTGAAATGCCCGACCTCGTTCGGAGTAACCTGTAGTGCTAAATGGCAAGCTCCCTTTCTCGATTAACTATAAAAAAGCCTGTGGAGATCCGTCATGTGGAGAAAAGAAATCGTCATAGGTTGATGCGCAATCATACGTGCTTCACGGCATGAATAAGCGTGCTCAGTTCAGTCTGCGTGAATTGCATTTGTCCTAAGCACGTGGGTTCGAATCTCACCTTTGTCAATGCTCTACTAGCCAGAGACCGGTGTGCTTTTGGACAATCGCTATGTATGCGGACATAACTAGTGTTTTATCCACGGCGTTAGACATACATTTATAATGAGCACGTACACATCAATGAACTGGATCAATATTTATGAATGGATGATTTCTGCAACGTGTGCTGCGCAGACGGAAAATCGTACCGTACCGGTAACGGCCCTCCTCGGATGAAGAAAGTGGCATTTTTGGTGGGAAGATGTTGACCATGCTTACCATATTTAGGCTACGAGCGATCACATCTGCCCATTTCATGTCCGTCTCGTTTCGTGCACAGAAACTATTAACTTCCGCTCGCCATACAGCATTAGTTGTTATGTGTCCAGAGTTTTTATACGTGATATTGTCAAAACTTAAATTCTAACATTCTAATTCTAAGGTTGTGATATTGTCAAAACTCGACGTTTCAAGCTGTGCTTACCATGGTTTGTGACCCCATGATCGCTCGTGGTCGTCTCTGTTCACTAATCTGATCGAGCACCCGTAAGCACTGGTTTCAAGCTATGTGTGTAAAATATGGTAAGACTAGCAAAGCGACATGACCAGTAACCCCACCCCTATTCAGTTAAGATGGAAAACTTTCCATTGCCAATTTGTAACAAAAGCTTGAGAGCACAGGTTGAAATCAGATCTCGATCTTCACCAACCGGCATCACAGCATCATGTCAACGCGTAAAAGTATGGGCAGATGAGTACATCAGACGACGCGCTCGCAAATAACATGGAATCTGCCCGTTTTGTAGTTTTTAAAATTTGTGTGGCCTTCAGGCAACCAGGTCAGGTGGTATCTTGAAAATAGCCGCACATCGCTGGTGAAGGGGCTTCTAAAATTCGTTTAACGATTTAGGGATGTTATAAAGCATAAGGTGTATTGTGGATCACCGGGAGCAGAGCCAGTAGCTGACGGGAGGGCATCTGAGATTAACGTCGGTATGGTCTTCCCTGAATGCATTGATTTAGATTGTTTGACGTCGCCGAGACCAGAGAAAAAGGGCTTGCAAACAGTGCGGTGCATATGGACGCAGACATGTAACATAGCGCGAGCCATTGCCTGTCAGACACATTTAGAGGATACGGCCACTTCTAGGTTCAGTGCATTGATGTAGACTTCTAGAAGGGTTCCCGAAGGCGATTGGCTGCTTTCGCTTTCACTTACAGGCCTTCTATAACCTGGGCCACTCCACTGTGGAAAGGCGTCTTGCTCCTTGAAGAATACGACAAAAATCAGCGTCGTACTTCAGCGCCAACCGGCACCAGAACCCTATCTCACGGCTCGCCACAGCTCGCCGTGGGCAGGCACCCCGAAGTTGTTTCGTGCCCAGGAGTGATTTTGTGTTAAATGGCAAACATGTCGCTGGCGACGACGTTGCGTTTCATAAGCACATCCTACATGCTATCTTGAGCAACCGTAACCCAGACATGAGACTTGGCCAGCACTGTCCAGCTTACTGCTTTACTGTTCGACGGTTCTGCTTATCATCAAACGGCGTATAACCCAAAAGCAGGGTTTCACCTCACGATTCCTGATTTAAAATGTCAAAAGCTACGGCCATTCCTGGCTCAGGACTGGTGTATTGTGTGGTGTTTCAGACTGCACGAAATCGTTTCCGCTTTGGACAAACACAAATAATTTTGAAGCTAAAGGAAGACAAACTTACATGTTGTCCCATTGGCTTGGTCAGGTCCATGAAAGGTCATGCGATGCCCGATGATAGCAACCTGATATAGTTTTACGCGTGCTGCCAGATGCCACTTTCTCATTACTTTGTTGACTTTCAGAGGTACCAGCGTGTCTGCAAAGCAGTCTGGCCTGGAAAAGACGAGACTAACTCTGGTCCGTGATGCCCAAATGTCCCGTGGCATAATTTGCAAGCCCAAATCCGTCATTTTCCTGCTTCCCTTCCAAGCTCTGAGGCCTGTGTCCTTTCCAATCCGCATCCTCTAGGACCTGGTCGCTCGTCAAGAAGTTTATGATGCCCTCTGGGGTATCATGCACGAACCGGTGGAGGAGAAGGCGGTGACTGCTGCTCACGAGCTGGCCGACAGCCTGATGACGCACGCCAACACCCGGGCCTTCGGCGAATATCTCCGAAACACCTGGGTCGGCTGCACCCGGAAGCGGGCCCTGGGACTCCGGAGCGCAGAAGGCATCTCCACGAACATGCACGTGGAGGCCTTCCACCGGGTCTTGAAGTACCAATATCTCAACGGAAGGATCAGCAAGAGAGTTGACAAGTAAGTAGCTTTCAAACATGATGCAGTTTCCCTAGTGTCTGCACACGGCGCTCACAGTCCAAATGAGCGTCAAATATGAGTTCTTATGAAATAACGCCCCGTTTCGTCATAATACTGTTTAAGGCACGGGAACGACCAAGATTTTCACCAGGTTTGTATGCCTGCCAAATAGCTATATGTATATCTGGAGGCCAGCGAGACACTTGCTGTGGGCGTCATTGCCCTCGGCAACATCACTGCAACGCCAGAATGTCGCACGTCCCTAACACCTTAGGTTGTTGTTAGAAAAACTACTAGAGCCCTTCTGTAACACCAGGGACACATGGAAACCGCTTTTTACGGCACATCAACCAGCAGTTATATTCTTCCGTCACGGAATTGCAGTCGATTTGTGAACAGCTGGTACACATATTTCCTGCGATGCATTCCTATGTGCGCGTTTTCGTGCGTTGGTATACTCGCTTGCAACGTCTTGTATTAAAAAATATTCGCACACTTACCATACAACATTTACCATTCGATTCCACGCCCCTCATACAAGACCCGGCACCCTTTCTAAGCGGTGTATTGTGTCCAACTCTACCATTAAGCTACATATATTGTTTGCCATAATTCCAATTTCCATGTGTACTTAACATAACCTGGTAGAAAGCATGACACGTGCCATCCAAGAAACATCCATTCAGTCCAGTCATAGATCATACTTACCGGGATTACCATAGAGTGCTGTTCAAAGGTATTGATCACACGAGCACGAGTGATGAGTTGAGATGACACGAGATTAGATCAGTTAGAAAGGAATGACTATGATGAAAATCAGAACAGAAATATAAATGCTAGCTAGCTCTGAACAAATCAAATACGTTTCCGCCGCGTTTCTTTGATGAGAGCCGCCCACACTTGCGTCATTTGCCTCAGGGTTAGACCGCTGGCCGCTTTGTCCGATGGACAATAAAGAGAACAAAAATCGACAGAAGTCATAACAGCAGAAGGTGGCCGAGAAAATGAGGCAACGTCGTAGCATTACACTGCATTTCAGGTGTGTCGCAGCTCTTCTCAAGTTCGAAACCGGTCAGATGGTGAAGACGGCCGCAGGCAGCTGTGGCGAGCTCCAAGCCTGCACGGCGAGCAGATCGTCAAACGGCATGCCACGGCAGCGGCCCCAGTGGCTTCCGGCAAACCCAGTGCCGTATCCGTTCCGGGCAGTTTGCTGCCTACCTGGAAGGTCGCCAGCGGGGGCGCCACGCCGGACCACTCCGTGGAACTGGAACACCGCCGTTGCGCTGATCAGAACTGCGACCAGCGGTGCCAGGAGTGCGGCATCTGTTTGCACCAGTTCCGGTGTGACTGCGTCGACTGGATGGGACGGAAACCAGCGTGCAAACACATCCACTTGGTTTGCCTCCCAGTCACCGATGTGGCCGTTTAGGCATGGCAAGGCCCGAGGCCAAGGCCCGACATCATCCTTCCGAACACGTCATACGAGCCGCAGGAGACTAACGACCAACCAGTTCGTCTCCTCATACCAGCGCCTCGTTATGGCAAAGTACGCAGAGCAGTTAGCGCGCGTGCCCTCGACATCAGACGATGTTCTAAAACAAGTGCACACCAAGCCGCGGGAAGTGGACCAGCTGTTGGCGATCGGAGCTGCCCACGGCCAAGAAGACCTGCCGGCCGGCACGGACGGAGGCCAGGCATGGAACGCCAAGGTCAGTACGCAGCCCTCACATCCCGTCGTCAGAAGCGGCCAAGATCGCAGTCTGCGCAAGGTAAACCCGATGGTGCGACAGCTCCGGTCATCGTGGGCGCTCTGTGCGAAGGCGATGTTGGCGGGGAGCAAGCCCACTATATCCACGTGGATCACGCGTACCAGGCAGTCAGCGGGCGATAGATGTCAGCTGTTGGCGTGGGCTGGTGTTTGATATGTGTGTGTATGAAACTTCAGGTGTGGTAATACAACTGGGAGTGTACCCATAATTTCCAAGTGCATCAGAGTACCATGACACATTGTCATGGAAAGCTGTAGTGAAGTCATGCCAGAATACATATTTATGAAGAAACATAGCCATGTATCATGCAGAAATGGTCACAATAGCTCACTTATTGACAAGCCAGTTACATCAGTTGCTATCACCTAGCACAAGGTCACTCAGAGCCAGCATATAGCCAACATATCTTACATGCAATAATCTGCAGCTACTGACATGCCAACAGTCCTTCAGTCACTTACCATGCAATTTCAACTACCACAATGCATGTGTTAGTATACATCATGCTGTAGGCAAATACAAAAAGAGTCCAAAGGGTGGCCTTCAGTTTGCAATTTTGGTTGCCATTTTAAGCATAAGCAAAATAAAAGTTGCATGGGTGATATTACATAAAGTGACAAGTGAATAATCAGTCCTGTGCCATGACAACATGACAGACATTGATACTGATGGATAAGGAAATCACAATGCAGATACATCATTACACAGTGGGCCAGGGAAGTGAATGGTCAGAGGTAAGGACCTGACAGTTGGTCTGCATGGGTCCTTTAAGGAAGGGTGGAAAGTTTTACAGGAAGCTAGATGTAAGCAATTATCTCAGGACAGCATGTTTACATGTTACATGTTCTATCTTCCCCATCATAGATAGGTATTTAGGAGCAATGTGACATTGAAATGCATCAGAGAAACATGTTCAAACATCATCAGCAGAGCCAAACAAATCTTACCAAGGTGCAATAAATGTCAAAAATATTCTTCACACAAGTACAGCATACATATGATTCCACAAATCTTTGAAGAAGTAATTGGCATATGAAGTATTTGCAAATGTCACACAATGTGAGTACATCACTTGCATATGTCACATAATGCAAGTTATCTTATTCTGAAAATTCATGTTATTATGTGATATAAATTACTTGACAGCCCTAAGGTACAATAAACAACATTGGTTTTGGAATGCTGCCAGGACTATCTTAAGGAGGCAGAGGTCAGTGAACACACATCACAAAATTGCTTTGCTTTTTGAGAAGATCAGTCTATCACACAAATCAAAAGTGTGGTGTAGGGGGGGGGGGGGAGGGAGGGTATGTCACCCTTCTCAGGCTATTCACAGGCGCTGACAACACTTATGATCAACTACCTGCCATTTTTACTACTTGGAATATGAATCAGCTACTTTGCTATCTTTATGTTAAATATATGGCTGAAAAACAGATTAAACGCCAGTCTAGTATCACCAGCACCTAGCCAACCCAATTACGCAAACCGCTCATATATAGCGTATATGCATATTTCAGTTTCATTCCCCGTTGTCCTCTCATATCTCCATGCATTTGTTGTCTGATGTCTGCCAAGCGGACGTCGATTGTGCGCTAGGATTGAACCATTACCAAGACTTCCTTGTTTTACTAATATTTTTCACCTCTAAAAAGATTATTAAAGAGGCTAAAAATGCTCTTGAGTGGTGAGTCCATTTCAGGGCTTCAGCCGCACCCGTACGCGAGCGGCCGCCCTCAACGAGGAGTTTTACGGCCGGCAGCGCGCCCGCCGACCGCCGGCCGCTCGGGGCTCTGGCTCCGCCTCCCGGGCTAGTGGCTCCGCCTCCCGGGCCGGTGGCTCCGCCCCCGCGGCCGGCGGCCCTGCGATACGTGCTTGCGGCCGGGCGGCTCCGGCCGGCGAGCCCGCTGACGGCGACGCTGCTCCGGCGGCCGAGGATCACCGGCGCCCGTGGCACGCTCCGCGCCACGAGCCGGAGGAGGCCAGCCGGCTCCAGCGGCTGTACCGCGCCAACCGTGATCGCGCGGTACGCAGCATCCTCGCTGAGGAGTCGCCGCGGTGCGATGTGGCGTTCGCCGACCTGGCGGCCCACTTCGCCCCGGACGAAGTGCCGCCCTTCTCGTGGGACGAGCGTCCAACGTGCGTGCCCGACCTGCCGCCGGCGCCAGAGCACCCTCACCTGACGGCTCCCATCACCCACGGTGAGGTGGAGCTCCGTCTGCGCCGGGCTGCCAACACTGCCCCGGGAGATGACGGTCTGCGGTACGCAGCCTGGCGTGCCCTTGACCCCGGCTGCCTGCTCCTATGCGAGGCGTTTGAGCTGTGCCGCCGCGCCTGCCGGGTTCCGGAGGCGTGGAAGGCGTCGCAGACCGTCCTGCTCCACAAGGGCGGCGACCCGACCCTGGCGACCAGCTGGCGTCCCATCGCGTTGGCGAGGACGGTCGCCAAGCTCTACGCCGGCGTGTGGGCCGACCGCCTTGCCGCCTGGCGGAGGCTGGCGATGTGCTGTCGGCCAAGCAGAAAGGGTTCCGGTCGTTTGACGGCGTGCTCGAGCATAACTTCGTGCTGCAGTGCGCCGTCAACGACGCACGTCGGGCTGGTGGGGAGTGTCACATTGTCTTTGTTGACCTCACCAATGCTTTCGGTTCGGTGCCGCACGCCCTCCTCTGGGAGGCGCTGGCGCGGTTTGGGCTGTCGCCCGAGGCCCTCCGAGCCGTGCGTGACCTGTACGAAGGATCCTGCACCCAGTACAGGCACGCAGCGGGGCTGTCAGACCCCGGTGCAGACGCGGTGTGGCGTCCGGCAGGGCTGTCCCCTGAGCGGCCTACTGTTTAACATTGCCATGGAGCCGATGCTGCGCACGCTCGTTGTTGTTGTTGATTGGAGTTTTAGGGCGCGTCGACTACTGCGGTCATTTTGCGCCCATAACAGCCCAATGACTAGCTTCGGAGTGTGACTATGAAATGACTAGAAAGTACGTATTATTCAGAAATATAGACGGCTGAGTTGTACCAGGAGCGCGTCATTGATACGAAATTTTTGGCAGCCTAAAAACTTCCTACACGCGGTATCAACTATTCAGGTAGGCGTATATAAAGTGAAGAACTTAACATGCGATACAAACCTGAGG